AATATTAATAATAATAAATACAAATTCTTAATTTCCTACACTCTCAACGGCTCAATCGTTTGTACCCGAGTCTTCTAGCAATCAACAGGAACACTTACCAAAACAAAGTCAGACTACAAAATATATCATCACAACACAACAATAAACAATACAAGATACCACATACCCTGAATGCATACATCACATACGGCTCACGCACGGTCTCCGAGGCCTTCATATGCACCGGCGTATGCTCTCGTATCGTATAGCCAACGCACTGTACCGTGCCGATCTTGCTATTCTCTGGTCGTCTGCCCAATTTGCGCTCCAGAGCACTCAGCTGATGCTCATATTTGTGAGTACTCTTACTTTACTTCCACCCCCTGTGCCAGTTCCCCGTTCTCTGAGGGTTTCCCTATCTTTATCTCTATATCTGTCTCTATTCCTATTCTTATCCCCATCTTTATCCCTGCTCGGGCTGCCCATCTTATCCCTATCCCGGTCTCGATCGTTATACGACGCAGATCTGTGGAATATTCCCAGAGGCTCAGTCGACACCTTGCGCCCGTTCGAAAATCCAGGTGCTGGCGGTGTGGCTGTGTTCAAGGACACCGGGGTAGACAGTTGCAACGGTTCCATGGCGTCCTCGCTCTTACCGCTGCCCATATCATAGGAATAGCTAGGGCTGCTAACCCTCTGCGTGCCCCTGTTCTTGTATTCATGCTCTGTACTCTTGCCCTTTCTGTCGCTCTCGCGCTCCTTTTCTGCCGATTTCTCACTTTTCGGTCGCAGATTTGGGGAGGCGGGACTCGTTTTAACGGCCTTCAACCTCAGGCTCGTAGTACTCCTCGTACCACCAATCGGACCCTCAATGGGCGAATTCTTTTGATACTGGTCTCCAGTGCTCGGCTGTCGCTTCAAACTGGGTGATCCAGCATTGGATTTGTTACTTTTAGATTTGCTGAAAGGACAAAGGAAGAGAGAAGAAATGAGTATTAATTGACAGCAATGGGAAACCAGGTTGGATTTCATGAGCCTGAAATTGTACCCTTTGGTATGTTGAGGACTGAGTCACAGCACCAGCGACAACCATAGTATTACATGCTGAAGTATACACGTTGCAGCATGTCTTCAACTCGACGAAGAACCTTGGTGAACAGATACCAGAGACGACCCGCGGATCAGAATATCCCATTCCATGTATAAGTATTTTGTACGTTCACCATTATATATATAAAT